CTGATAACTATTTATGTAAGTATGTATGGTATACAGGTAGGTATAATTAAATTACATTGTTCGAATATATAACAATAAAATGCTAATAAAMTCAACTATACCGATATTTTATTTTGAATTTTACCCCTACCAATCTCATTTCCCACTAATCATAGTATGATGTGTTATTCTKACATGTAAATCAACATTTACAAGTACGCATTATTTGAAATATAAATGTACATAATATACGTTCCATTAAAGTCTGATTGCATGTGTTATAGCGGACCCACTCTATAAAATCTAAAACTAGGTACCTACCTATACACAACARTTAATATAAATCAGTATTAATAGTAAATTTAGATTTTGCCGTGATTTTGATTAATAGTAATTGGCATTACTACGGTTATAAAAACGAACGATAAGCGTATAAGTTCGTATTAAAAATCGTTGTTTTATTTAGGTGTTAAATATTATTAAGATGTGTGAACAGCCAAATAGCCAATAGCTCATAAAATATACACGTTCTGTATACGTTGTGTTTTGTAGCGTATCTACCTACAGCTACGGCCTGTATAGATGCGCCAATACATATTGTAGATTATTAATTGCAGTAAAGCACACTTTTTATTATAATAATATTATTTCGTATTTCGGATGACACTTACCGGCGTTATCTTCAACAACATGGCTTCAGTGAGTGGTGAAAATCTTAATCCAATRAGATAATTAAAACGTAAATTTTATTGCGATAATATTATAACGGACGATCTTCTTGCTGTCGGACGGTCGGCAATACGAATCGCACATCGTTCTGCTCGGGTCCACGTTATATATATAGCGGTAACCTGTTGGAAGGTACGAAACGCCCCGCCCGCCAAGTCTCTGAGCCGGCCGATCGGTCTTTCCCCGTCGTCCGCACCGCACCTCACCAGTTTCACGTTACGAAGACAGTCGCATGTTATACATATTTTTAATAATAATAATAATAATATCGCTCTACTAGCTGCGGGTACCAATGTACCTATAGCCTGTATACTGTATAGGTATCTATTATATAGGTACATACGTCTTATACTTTTACTCTCAACCATCACTGCGGAKTGCGGATATTCGTACGCCGTCAGTTACCCTTGGCACCCGGCTGAATCTGCTGTCGATGAACTTGTCCTCCGCGGCGGCGTGACAACGATACTACAATAATAATATATAATATAATAATATTATTATTATTATTATTATCGTGCTCGTGGTCGTCACGTAATGCGCGGCACGCGATGATCGCCTCCCGCCCACGCGTGCGACCGTTCCGGTTCGGTTGACATTCGACCGGTCTAGTGCAACATAAAGTAGAAGTATTATTATATTTAACTATTTTTTTTTACAATCTTTTTTTAATCCTTTTCTTTTCTTCCGCAGGCCTATTGTACCTATACGTGGCCAAATAAATTTCACGACGTTAAAAAACATTATTATTAGTTATTACTTTGTAAGTTATATTGTTCTGTAAGAAGCACATCGTAGTGTAATAAAATTATAACATATTATATTTTTACTACCCGGGGTTATAATATATAATAAACAATTGTCTATATAGGCCTTGCAAGCCGACAAACCAAACACGCCTCTTTTAATATTATAGTCGTGTAACTATGGGTAAAAGTGCAAACCTACTACTTTCGATGTTTGGAGCATGCGGTCTACACATTACTCATGGTCCAGATCCGATTGCTGCACATGCCACACATTACATCATCTCTGTATGATAATCCCTACGTCCAGTAACCACCATTCTGAGGCAGAGGTTAACTCACATCCGGTCGAATTCCTYGCARTCGGGTTATAACAACGCGTTTTGTGACGGCATTCGATCATTTTCACATAGAGTACGGTCGTCCACCTCAAACACGCAAACTAGGTAGCACTGAAGTATAT